ATAGATTCCTTGAACTTCTGGGCATTACCTTCAGGCGGGACCCCAACAATTTCCGGCCTCGGATTAATAAGAACAACTCTGTAAAAGTGAGTGAGATGGAGATGATTTAAAACAACTCAAGTATGTGTTACTGATAGCTTGTGTTCTGTAATGTGGATTTAATGTGAATGTTCCAGGCAAGCATACATCTGTAAGTTTGCTCTGTTTCTTTTTCATTAGATACTAATATGAAGTACTAGGAAAAAGTACTTATTCTTCACCTTGGTTACTTGTCATTTTACATACTTCATTTTATTATGTAATGCTGGTGGAAGGTGTGTAAGATCTTTAAATCTCTTGAATTGACACCAAATATAGTTAGTTTTAAGGGCTGTCAGATGTTTTGTCTCATACACAGTTTGCACATATATGAATGAACTGAAATTACTTGATACGTTTCTCCACTGTAATGAAAATCTCTTCTTTTTTTGGCATCTTTTACCTTAGTCATGCTTTTCCTCTTATAATATTGTCAGTTTGTCTCAGTCCAGGCAGTTTTCTTTGTGTCTTTTGCCTTGACTTGTATTTTAATTCTGTGTAAACCCTGCGATCTTTTATTTACCCCATCTTAGCATTCATGAAATCATTCATAAATTCCATTAAAATTATTGTTTGTAAATTTATCCTTCTTTATAATACCCTTAAAATGTCTTAAAATCACTTCTGTTCCTCTGTTTGGCCACGTGTCACCACCATATTAGTTTAAATCATGAATTTATAATTGTAATTTTACTGTCTGTAGATCTTCACATTCCAGAGTAGCTTCTTCACATTGTGATATTATTTTTAACTTTATTGGATCAGTCTGTTGATTTTACCCTCAATGTTCCCTCTGTTAATTTTACTCTTGACTTTTTCACAATAAAGTCATTGATTTTTATTTGTAACAGAATCTAAATTTATTGTAGTCTTAATATGTTTAAGTAAAAGTAAGAAGGACTTACTCTTCACATGAGTTTCATGTTCTTTTATTCATATTGTCTGGTAAAACATTTGGTTCACATTAAATATATTTTTAACCCATTTACAGTCTCATATTATGAATGGGAATTTTAAGATCATTTATTACCTCTGTTCTTTTCAGTGTAGTTATAATGTGTAGGGTTTGTTATTCTTTTTCCTAACTTACAGACTCCATTTTATGGTGGGTTGAAAGGTTTTAAATTATGTTGTAGCATCTTACCAAACATATGCCTTACATTACCATCATTACTGTATTATTGATCTTGTAGCATAAAAACATGTTCCCATCTTGATGTTGTATTGTGTTCACATTGTATTTGTTTTCACAGGATACTGAACAGAAGAAAGCTGGGCAGTATTTCTTTCTGGAAGAATAACACAGTTGGATGGAACACGTGGTCTATTCCAAGCCAGATGCTGATGAGAGCTTCTAGAAGGCAGTTTATATGAAGGAAACTCTGTAAGAAAGAAGAAAAGTTTAAGGTTTTTGTATGGAGAATCTTTGTTGTCTAAACAGTTTTTGGCCTCCCAGATTGATTCTGAGTATCTCTTTTTTTGATAAATCTGTACATCTTGTTTATTTGGAATATGCTGTCATCAGCACAGATGTATATGATACAGGTTAGTATAATCTCTTACCTGAAAAAGTTCTAATTTATTAGTTATTTTTTATTTTAAAATTTAAGAACAATTGACAATGGAGGAAATTTTTTAATCTTTCTATGCAATTGTTTGTTCACAATAAAGCATTAATGTATAATTCCTTGAATGAAATAAAATTGCTCTAACCTTGGTCTTGATGATTATTACAGAGAACAGGTCACCTGACAACTTTCCTTTATTGTAAATAATTGAGAATTTTCTTTGTAATGTGCAGTGTCATTGCATACAAATTAAAACTAGTGCTCTCCCATAATTTTGCCAGTCTGTAAGCATAATCCTAATGGTGTTGGGAATTTTCCCTGTTGACATTCCTCCCTCCATGAAACAAAGACCTTGAGAATCAAATAATAGCTTAACTAGTCAATAAATTACCTGTCTTTTGTCCTCAGTCCCTCTGGGAAAGTCCTGGAATAGTACTTTGAATTAGGTCACTACCAGTTCTTCCACATCCTTTCAGATTCATTACTCATTATCATCCTCCCATTCGACAATATATAGTCTGAGCTACTGAAGAAGCATTGTTAAATAAACTATAAATAATTATTTTGTGGAACATGAAGGTTAATTACCATGTTTACCAGAACCTGCACTCGGTAAATGTACTGCTTTTAACATGTCATTAATCAAAGTGGTAAACATATTCTTTTAATGAATTTGAATTAAATGTGCTTTCTCTTGTAACTGTAATTGAACTGTTAAAGGGTTGTGATTATTTGCAGCATTAAGCCTTTTGTATTGATTGCCAGCTGAATTATGCATAAGTCAAGGAATGTATAGATCCCCTCAAAGTGAAGTGTCATACTTCATAGGTCAGCAGTGGTTGTCCATTTCAGACACGAGGTTTACAAAACACTGAATTGATGCAGCTGGTCACCAGAGAAGCCATCACTTTTAGTCACAGTGAAATCTTCAAGTCTTAATATGAATTGTAGTTTCTTGCTCAGCCTTTGTTGTTTATTTCCCTGCACAGAACTTGAAGTTTGAGTATAAGCTTTTGTCATTGTGTGACAACAAGTTCTTCATGCACATTAAACAATCTTTAAATCACTTATTTTTGTTTGAAAGTTGTAGTGCATGATATATTAGAATATCAGTTTTTGTGGAAAATAATTTTACATATTAGGTTAAGGATAGTACAATTACAGCTGGATACTATTGAGAAAAATATTTTCATTTGAGAAATCATTGATGTCCATTCTTTGCCACATAATTCATAACCATTTTGAACCAGCTTAACGGCAACGGTAAACGGAATCGGCGTAAATTGGAATGATTTTATAATGTAAATCAATGGGAAGTCAATGACATGCGTTCCCAGCACCCAAACATTGACCAGTTATCGCTTATAAAATAACCCCGGTACCCCCGCAGAGATTAAATTAGTCCTTTGTAATTTTAAAGCGCCAGGAATGAAATTGCACAAGAGCAAACTCGCATATGCAAAAGTTTGCATTTCACAAACAGCTTTTACCGATTCATCGATTTCATTGGAGCAAATTCCCGTTAACGAAACATACATAATTGTAGAGGTGACTGTATTTATAACTTTTATTCAAAATTAGCGATGTAAGAATTACGATTTAGTATAAGAATCAGTACGAGAAACATTTTAAAACGTTATGAATAATAGTAAAATATATTTTTCCCCTTTTTGACTTTCTGGTTTCAAAATCGGCGTTATTCTGAATCAGCGCAAATCGAGGGCTGCTGTTCTTCGTCAAGGTCTTTGTGCGCCAGTATCAGCTGCCCGCTGTTGTCAGAAAAAAAAATTCAGCATGATTTTCCCCATGTTATAGTTGGGACTATAATTTCTAAAGGTGGAAAACCAGAACGAAGGAAAGAGAGCACTTAAGATTGTGAGAATTGTGAGCATGTGGACTGCATTAATTTGCCTCAGGACATGGACAATTGGCGGATTGTAGTGAAGATGGTAATAAACCTTCAGGATCAATATACTCAAGAAATTCCTTGATCGGTGGTAATAAATTGTGATTCAAAGAATAGAGGCAACTGAGGCAGAAAAAGGCTTAAAGAAAAAGAAGGAAGATGGCTGTCTTCTGGGCTGTTGCGCCGTAAACTGGTAGAAGACTACCGATATTTCAGAGGCCCTTGCTGTCTCAAGCCCTGGTGATGATGGGCCTTACCTAGAAGGAGAATACTCTATTAACTTGATACTATCTCTCATCATGATTGTAGTGAGGGCAGTAGCCCAATCGGTAACATAGTGTACTAGTATTCGACTTCCTTTCACCACGCTGAGTTTAGGTCAATAGTGGTCCTTACAGCAATGCGTCTGTAACGTTGAAAGGACAGAAATGATTGCAATGGAAAGTTGTTTCCGTGAATTGGATTTTGATCTGTGATTTGACTAGTTTGTCATCGGTGATGCAAATACGGAGTGGTGGTTTGTTAAGGATGTTACAAACTTGGATGCACTTATAAATTGAATAATTTATATTTTGTGTATTGTTCGAATCTCAAAGGTTTGGATTTCAGTTCTTAGAATGTCACTCAGCGTCAAGAATACGAGAACATGTGGCATTAATTTGTTATCTGAGCTGTCAAAATATTTTGGGCATCCGCAATTTAAAAGTGATTTGCAGAGACAGGCTACTGAAGCAGTACTAAGAAGTAAGAATAAACATTGATATCATTTTTCGAGAAATCACAAAATGTCAACAACAGTTGGGAACTGGTACAGTCAGAAACTTCATTAAAGAAATGGTACCAGAAACTGTAACATTAAATTGTTGCCAACCATTCATATGAAATGAATAATTTTTTACGATAATTAAACGAAGTGTTAGGAGTTCTTGCCATTGATTGTGATTACATTAAAGACCTCTGTTTCTAAATGCAAGCGGTTTGCAATGTAATCAGTTTACTGTGAAATGTTTTTGTGGCACATTGTGATAATTATAGTAAATTAAGTAAGGTTAGTGATAGAAAGTTGCAAATATTTGCATGGAAACATCCAACACTGAAGTAAGTATATTGTAATGTTGTTGTTTTTGTTGTTGTTGTATATGTTAAAGGATTTGCACAAAATACAAAATGTGGGCTAAAAGCCTGAAGGGAAGAGTTTATGTGGAAGACCTAGGCATATATAGGAGGACTATATTAAAATGGATCTTAAGGAAATCAGTTGGAACTGTGGACTGGATTAATTTTCTTTAACATGGGGATTGGTCATGGCTACTGTGAATACAGTAATAAACTGTCCATTTACATGAGAGATGTAGAATTTTTTGACTAGCTGAGCTACTGTCACCTCTTCAAGAATGATCCATGGAATTAGGAACCATTTCTTCCCTTCTGGACATTTCTCCTATGCTATAAGTTCTTCCATGTTTAGTTCCATTTACATTGACAGTTGTTTTATTAGATTAATTTTAATTTACTAAGACAGTGACATAGTTTGAACCCATTAAATATGGTTTGGGAATGCTGACCACTAGGCCAGTTAGGTGATCCAGTTGTAATTATTATAATTTGTGTATATGAATTCTGACTCTATGGGCAGGGAAGTGTGTGTGAAGTACATATTTATTTATTATTAGTGTTCTGTCTGACGACAGGTCCATATACTATGAGCAGGGTCCTTCCATCCTCTTCAGGTTGTCAGAGACCTGTTCATATATATATACATTCTTGGCAGATGATCTGAAGTGGTTTGCCATTGCCTTCTTCTGTGTGTGTGAGTGGAGTAATTGTTGGGATGCCACGGAGAAACCGGGGAGCCACCGGAGGAAGTACATACATTCAAGAAATTCCATTTGTTAAGGAATATAAAGGTTTATCACTAGGTATCCTTGTTCTTTGACATTTCATTCTAACTCATACTACTACCACCTGTTTCCTAATTTATAATATTCTCTCCATTCACTGTTAGGTATATTATCTGTATTTTGTAGGGTGATTGTACTTCTGAATGTTACAGGAAATCAAGATGTGTTTATATCAATGCCAACAGGATCAGGGAAGTCCTTATGCTTTCAGCTTCCAGCAGTCCTTCAACAAAATAAAGTGGCTATTGTTTTTTCACCCTTGCTGGCTTTAATAAAGGTAATTTAATTTATAATTTTGTTGTTTGAGGTGTCTGTAGAATTAAGAATTCCATTGTAGAGTAGTAAGATATACACACTGTTTGTATGATGGTATTATAACACTGGTGAACCAAGATTTTATAATATGCAGACCCTTTGTTTTGTTTTGTTTTTCTGATATGGACTTTTGGTACAAACTTTTCTTATAGCACGAATTTTATTAAATAAATTTTAACATGAAGGATCAGGTTTATGTATTAACAGTGTGGTAACATATTCCATTAATTTTCAGAAGAGACCTTAAATAAAGCAGGCAATAAAGGGATTAAATATAGTAACACATCTCATAAATGATCAAAAGTACAAAGTTATTTTTCTGAGATTGTTCCTGATTCCTGTACTTTTGCAGTAATGTAATGAATGGTCAAGTTCTCCAATTCATTAATATTTATATTTGTATGTGTCTGAGTGGACTTTGGTGATGTTTACAGTTATGACGTCTTTAACGTATTATAATTTAAGTGTTTTTAGTTTATTCTTGTACCTAATGACAAATAAATGCAGTAAATATGAATTAACTTGAATGCTGGGATGGATTTAGCCATTCACAATGCAAAAGTAAGCATTTACCACTTAACAGTGTTTTGAAACTGTGGTCCTCCTACTAGAAAAGGATTTTACTTTAATTGGACTTCATAATGTGAAATGACCTTCAATGTGGTTACAAAAATAACTGGAAAGGAACTGATAATTATTTCATAGAACATATGTTTTTGTGACTTTCAATTTATTGTACTGACACCTAATGAATGATTATGAACTCTACATTGCTTAGTTTTCTTTCATGTATATGTGAGTATGTGGTTTGATTTTATAATTTACATGTTCTTCTTAAAACTAATAATACATTATATCTGAAGGATCAAATTGATCATCTCCATGAACGGAAGATTATTGCTTGTTCCATCAACTCTAAAATGAGTACCAAGGAAAGAATTCAAGTGATAAATGATCTGAAATGCAAATGTCCGCGTACTCAGCTTCTTTATGTTACTCCAGAACAAGCCAATACACACACATTCAAGGTAATATATTTTATAAATCCACAGTCTTTATGGGGGAACAGTGCTTTCTTGGTATTTTTCTGTTTGGAAAGTAACATAATTGATTATTAACCACAGTTCAACACTTGTGAAGACTGGGTTGTATTCTTTGCTATCTGACCTTCCAAGAGCAGATGAGACTGAATTTGTAGTTTCTTTCACAAGCTGTTAATTTCTTAATTAATAAGTCCTGTATTTTGTCATTTTGGGCATATAGGTAACTAACTTCTTGAAGTTGTATACTTTTAGTAAACTGATAATTGCTCAGCTCATAATGAAATCCCTGCCTCTTTGGAATCCTTCTGCTTTATCCTAAGCCAGTTGAATCTAGGCAACATTCTTACTTTCTGCTTCTTTAAGACCTATTTTAATGTTATAGTCCTGTTAATCCAAATGTATCCTAAATGGTATAGTTGGTGTAAACTTCTAGAAAGTCAGTGTTTTATGATTTTTCTGCTTGAAGAATTATACAGTTGTTGCAACTGAATTTGAGTTTGTGTTGTGTTAAAACTTAAACTGAATTTAATTATAGTCAAACGTTTACCATATTATATCATTATGTATTGGATAATATTGACTGGTTATGTTCTCTGCATTCGGAGCTTACTCATATGTTATTATCTGCTGCTAAACTTGAAAAATGCATATTTCATTTATGCATAGTTTACCCAACACAAACACAAATTAAAAATAAATTCAACTAACCTAATCTTACTTGATGAGAATACAAATACCACAATGGATAATATATACATAGTTAATAAATTCTTTTAGAATGTTTTAAAGTTTCAGTTTGTGGAATCTGTAACAAAAAATAATTTTTTTACAAATATTTTTATTTTTGAGTGTTTAAATAGGAGGCAGGAGGATAAAGTATACTGTACTTCATGGTAGACATGTAGAACATGGGGGAGGGGTGTTTGGGTGGATAGTTTGTCTTAGTGTTAGTTTTTAGTCAGTTAAATTTTTCATGACCTATATAATTAAATGTTTATTTGTTGAAGAAATGTAAAATATATCCAAATTTGAGAATAGTGGTAACTTTATTAGTGTAACTACTTCAGAGCATATTGTGAAAAGAGGTCACATATAAATTATCTCACCATATTGTTAAGATACCTTTCATCTGGAGTATCTGTTTGGATATATTACTCTGTTTATAGGTCCTAATAGATGAGCTTTACAACTTCAGCAAGCTGTCTTACATCATTGTGGATGAAGCTCATTGTGTTAGTCAGTGGGGTCATGATTTCAGACCACATTACTTGAAATTAGGCAAGCTTCGGAGCAAATACAAGGATATTCCATGGGTAGCTTTGACTGCCACTGCAAGTACTGAGGTAATTTTTGTTACTGTTACATTGTACATTTCCTCCAATCTTGCAGCAAAACATTGTTATAGGGAGGTATTAATAATGTTTGTGGAGGAAGCTGTATATGGCGTACAGTAATACCCCAGTTAACGCTGCCTCGTTTAGCGCGGTTTCATTATAGCGCTCATTGGCAATTCTCATGAGTTGCTGCCATTTCAACATCATTGCTAACACTCATGTAGGTAGCCAATTAGTTATTCAGTGCTCTTCGTACGAAATACTGTATATGTACATGGTCAACTGCCAATTTTGCCAAATATTTTCTAGTGCTTTTTACCCATCATGTCGGGAAAAAAGTTTTCAAGTGATGCAAAGGAAAAGTATTTCTCTGGATGTGAAACTGCTAGTGCTAAGCTGGCCCCTCATATAAAACAATTAAATAAGTTTCATTATTGTTCTAAAGGTATTTGTATTTTCACCCATCTGATATATACAAATGCTATAATGACCCTGTTTAGCGCTGTTTTTGTTAGTGCTCCACTTTCTAGGAACGTATTCTGAGTGTTAACTGGAGTATTACTGTATTTAAAAAATTTCCAGACTGACTTCAAGGCAACATTCCTGTAGTTAATTGAAAGTCTAATTCCTATAATTGTAGAATACAGTCTGCTGGATCATTTGTTATTATTCTGGAAATTGTAAGATGTGCCATTCAGAAGTCATACTTTATAAAGTAAGGTCATGGGCAGTGCTGTTTATGTTGTTCCCCACCTCAAAATGACAGACTTTAAAGAACAGTGCACTGTGCACGTGCATTGAGGTCTGTTTAAAACCATGCAGAATTGCTACAGAAACCTATGACATGTCAAAACTTCCTTTTGGTGAGGAAACAGTAAACAGAATTCAAGCATTTGAGTGAGTTTTCACATTAAAAAGTGGAATGATATCTCATAACATTACTGAATTTTTAGTTGTTTTTTAGTTTTATTTTATTTATTGTGTTGATGGAATTGTGTGTCAGGTATTTGTCACTAGGGGACAAAATGTGAGTTGTTATTTCTACACAGCTGTTCAGTGGTTTCTGTAGAAAGTTGTGCAACAAACATGTTCTGAGAAATGGTGTACTGTGTCAGGTTATGCCACCACATCAATGTACCTGTTCATTCTATTTTGTCTCTGCAGGAATTTCTAGCCAGAAATCATATTTCTGTTCTCTTCCACCTTTCTTACTCTCCATTTCTAATGCAGTGTTACTCTTAATTTAATTTTTCAAAACCCAAAATAAGATGCATGCATTAAAAATACAAAACTTGACAACAACAAAAATACTGAGCACAGGGCACTAGAGGAACTGGTAAATATATAACACTTAGAGTGTTACTGAATGAATGGATTTGCATATTAAATTGCGGAAAATTCAACAGGTGTTGTCACAAAAATATTGAGTGTTTGGTGGAAGGTTTAAAATTGTTTGGTTGGCTGGGTTCAAGAATAGTGTTATAAGGTGTTTACCCTTTACCATATATTCTGTATGTTGTGTGAATGAGTTAACCTTCAGCATCCATGCATTATTGTATACATGCAGTTCAGCTGCCTCCATCATCAGGGTGATCATCACCCTGATGACGGAGACATCAAGCGCCTCCAAAATGTCTGCAACTTCTGCCAGACTACATGGTGCAACAACCCAGAAGACAATAATATTCATATTCACTGCTCTGAGAACCCGACTCTCAGTGGTAAAAGATGTTGGAATAAGCAATGATTGTCAGTTGCTAGGAACGTGCATGGCATATTTTATGGTTCTATTTTTAGATTTTCTTTATGAAAATAACACTGAATATCATTCACAGTCTTGGGGTTTGATCTATAGATATCCTTGATCTGCACTGAGAATTTTATAACAACAGGTGGTTTTTCTTTTATGTAAAATTATGTCCCTTGCCATTGAACTCTTCTGAATAACTTATTGTAAAGAAAGAAATTAAATATTTTTGAAAATCTCTTCTTAAATATTCTTTTCTTTAGGTTGTTGTTGACATCATTAAGCATTTGCAGCTACAGAAACCAGTTGGGAAATACAAATTCCCATGCTACCGTTCAAATTTGTTTTATGATGTTGTATTTCAAAATGCAATGGCAAACCCATTTGAAGATTTGAAGGATTTCATCCATGATCAGCTCAGTGATGATCCTGAGGTAGAAAAACAGGTAAGTTTTGGTAATTTTTCATAAGTATATTAGACAAACAGCTACTTCATATTATATTTTCTGTTGTGTGCATTAGTTGGTTCATAATTTGTACTGTTTTCCAAATGTTGTTATGGTGTCATAAATTAGAGGGTGAGACTGGCATAGCAGAATAGATGAAAAATTCATACAAATGTTTGGTTGGAAAACTTTAAAGGATGAGAACACTTAATGAGATTTTGATGCAGGTGCAATAATATTATTCAGATTCATTTTAAATAAGGTGTGAGAATTAGAACCACATTCAAGTGACTCAGAGATAAGTCCACAATGGGCTGTTTTGAACATCTCCATAATAAGCCTTCATATTCAATAAAAGGTCAAAATTTCTTTACTGTTAGTTTTCAAGAAGGATTCTGGTCCATTGAGGTGGTGTGTTTTTCATTTGAGTTCCAGTTATGTAAAAATATATTCAGAGACTCAGTAGTTAGAAGGAAGGCTGGTAATGTTTGATGCTTAGGTGAAAATTTGCCCATTTTATTATGAACAAGTGGGAGATATGAGAAAGGCATACAAAATTTTAATAGGAAAATCTGAAGGAAAGAGACCAATTGAGAGATCTAGGCAGTGATAAGAGGGTAAGGTTCTTTTGTAGATGGTTAGATACAGTAATTCAAAACATAATTTTAATGTTTGTGATTATATAAAGTGTGATTAAAATGTGTGTGTATTACAGTACTACATACAGGTGTCCCGCAATAGGATGTCTATAGCTTAACTAAGTGATCCTGGGATCATTTTGAGTAGAAGAGTTCTAATTAACATGGGTCTGATCTGCAACAATTTGTCAAGAAAATCATAAATAAGAAATATCATTTTATTGCATTTTTAATGTTTATAATTTCATTACAATTTACTTTTCAGGAATACATATGACTACATTCTGAATTTACTATCATATTTGTGCCTCGAAATGGCCACCGTTATTGTCGAGGCATTTTTGAGCTCTTTCTGTAAGAGAATTGGTCTTCATTACAGTAGCTTGATCATTTTTTATGTAATCACTGCACTTCATTATTTTCTCCTCAATCTGGGCCCTTGTGTTTGACTTAGTGTACACAAGAGATTTTATGTGCCCCCAGAGGAAGTGATCGGATGATCTTGGGAATTTAGTGAACTTTTTTCAAATCAAAGCTCTAATCATGATAACACCATTTTGCAGGTAAGCCATTTAACTGTAATGTAGCAAAATTTGCGTATGCTACAAGGGGTTGTACTAACAATTGGCAATTACATAACCAGAGCATGGTAAATGCTAATTCCCGCTATGTTGACAAACTGTTGCAGATCGGACGAATGTTAATTAGAACTTTTCAACTCTAAATGATTCCAAGATCACGTAGTTAAGCTATGGACATCCTATTGCGGGTTATCCTGTATATAGATTAATTTAATTTGGTATTTAACTTATATCTAAAAGTCTGCAGTTGCTGTTAACCATGGAAAACAGACAGCATGTTAATGGTAGGTTCTGGAACTTTTAACTCTGTGGGAGTAGGACTCAAAAGCTCAACACCACTAATACTATAACTTGCCATTGGACATGATTCTTAGCCAGTTCCATCTATTTTTGGATCTCACATTTCATCTCCTTAAGTTACATTTCAGTGTCCAGTGCCTACTTCTGCTGCATTTCAAATCAGAAACATTATTTTTTAAGTGTAGTTTATGAAGGAAAATTGGTTACACTGCAGCTCATACATCTTATGTAATTTGTTCACAGAGAAACAGAGGTTGTGGAATAATTTATTGTCGCACTAGAGACGCTACAGAAGAAGTAGCAAGGTACCTGACTCTTAAAGGTGTGCGGACAATAGCATATCATGCAGGTATTAGAGTCATCATTTCCCAAACATTGTAGTTTGAGAAATACAGTGTAAATGCAAAGAAAGATTTTATTTACTCTTGTTTTTTCTTTTAAGGATTGCGTATAAAGGAAAGGATACAAATACAGGAGGACTGGATGGCTGGAAAGTATCCAGTAATAAGTGCTACTGTTAGTTTTGGGATGGGTGTCGATAAAAGCTCTGTGAGGTATGTATAACTGTGAAGATAATGATGTTAGTTCACAGGATTATTTTATGAATATATTTACTATATAAAAGAAGGAAGCAGATTCTTCATTCTTTCCACTGTCTCTTTCCACAGTTGACATTTATTGTTCTTTGATTGTTTGCTTGTTTTTGTTTTTGTCTTTTTGCACCCCAGCATGTACGTACTTTGTGATTTTAAATCAGGGACTTAAAGGAAGGAAAGGATTTGTAGTTATTTTCAGTCTTTTCATTCAATACAGTGAGTGTAAGCAAATACCCAACAACTCACTTGAGAAGGGCAACATCTTATTTCAGTAAGGTTCCAATTGTGTCTATATACTGCAGTGATGACCTATATTTTGTGATCATTGATAGAGAATATGGATTCATCTGGCTCAGGATAAAAACTGGTGAGGGGCTTTGTAAACATAGTAATGAACCTTTGGGTTTTATAAAATGTGGGAAATTTCTTGACTAAGTGTACTGTTAGCTTCTCAAGAAAAACTCTGTTGCATGGATTTATTTAGTTAACAGAAAATTTGCATCTTGGGTATTTTGTAAAATTCTAATTATGTAGTTAGAACATAATTAGGCCTGCTTAAATCACTATTAGTGTGCCATTTGGAAGGGAAACTAGTAGCAGGTAACAAACTTAACTGAGCACTCTTTGACAATTAGAATGGTGATTGCTGTACTTTTTCTTTGGTGATTTTAAAAGTGTTGACATGTGTAATAGTGTGTTACACTGAGAATACTGGTAGCATCTGCATTACATGAAGTTGGTAACCTCGGTGAAATGGAAGTTCTTTACTACATGGAAAAAGTTGTCACTGTAACTAAATAAGCTGAAGAAGATGAAAATGATAACCTTCTGGGATATTGCACCATCTACACTCATAGAAGTTTATTGACATTGAAGAGGTTCTTACTACTTTCATCAGGAAGTACCTCTGAAACATAGGTCTGATCCGCTCTCCCCTTCTTAACAACAGTCGAAAGGGGGAGGAGGTATTCAGTTCTATATGTCGTAGGTTAGCTTGACCCACGCCCCTGAAAATGGTTTACTCAAAACACAGCAAAGTACAATTGAAAATAAAACCATTTACTGTCTTAAAACAAATAGCAATACATACACATTACCAGGGGTCATTGATAAAACTATCACAAACAAAGAAACTCGCAAACAAAACATATTAAGTACAACAAAAATCCCCACGACACGGCTTACTCTCGGCAATACTCAATTCGTCTCCCTGGCCTTGACGACCCCAAGGGACCAAGAATAACCCCGAAACACAGTGGTTGGCCCATTCACCAACACAACAAATCCAATACCAATCTGGACGGGCAACTACAATGAGAAAACAAATACAGACCAATGTCGCCTCAAAGGGAGTGCCCAGCCGGAGAGAACGTTGCCAACCGAATCTGTAGCTACAGCCAGAGTGAGCGTCTGTGGTCTAACGAGAAGAGTTCAGCCCAAATCAGTCCCCTCTCTCCTAAGTCGGCCTATCCTCCCCACACGCATGCACACCCCTTTCAAAGTTTCGCCGTCGCAACATCAGAACCAGATGTACGTAGTCGGCTCAGGTCAACTCCTACCGGACTACATCGTGCAATATCCCAGAAGGCTGTCATCTTCATGGGAACCTGAAATCTCACATAATCTTATTAGAAAGTTTGAAGATTATTAACAATTTAATTAAACTTTCTGGCTTGGTATCTGTTCCAACACATCCATACACAAACTATGGAGCCTTCTGATTCTTTCCTTTTATTGCTGTAAACTCTGAAAGTAAAACACTTTTCAGATTCGTTGTCCACTGGTGTGTACCACAGAATATGGCGTCCTATTACCAAGAATCTGGACGTGCAGGTCGAGATGGGAAGCCATCTCATTGTCGGATATATTATTCCAAGAAAGAAAGGGAGACTGTGAATTTTCTTCTTCAAAAGAATATAAAAACTGCCAAGACACCTTCCGGTACAGAGAAAGCAACCTATGCTTATAAGGGTTTTAAAAAGATGGTGGAGTACTGTGAAGAAGTAAAGTAAGTTTTTACTTCATGGATTATAACTTAGCTGATTGGAACAGATTTTTACCTACTTTCTGTAATTATAATTTGATCCTGTAAAGGTTATTATAAGCTGATTTGATTTTGTTATTTAACTAACCAGTTCAGGATTACAAAAGTATTTAACTTTATGAAATGATATGAGGGCTGGAAATTAAAGTAAATGAAGAGGAGTCATAATAACTGAGCTGAAATGTGGAAAGGGGTGATAGAAATTGATTTGACATTTGTATATGTAGAAGTGGCACTAGAAAGCAATGGATGTTAGTAGGAGAAAGAACTTTAATAGTTGTCTGGCCAGAGCTCAAATATCAGTTGTATTGTTCCTTTCATTGCTGTTGAATTCTCTTGACTCTGGAGTGGTTGTACTTCATAGTTGTGAAGTTAATTTTTATCCATTACCTTGACCTTTGCAAGAAGATTACTATTATAAGATATACATGCTTACGTTTAGTTAAATATTTTACTTGTTTGTTGTCTAAAATAAATTATACATTTTCTGAAACTGCGACTTAAAATTTTTCTTCTGCCTTTTATCTCAGAATTTTACATTTGTATAGTCTGATTAAAATAGATTACAGATTCAGATAAAAATGTCCTGGTTGTGTTTTGTAAACAATTATTGCCTTTGTTTTTCAGTAAGTTTGGGTTTTTTATTGTGAATCACTTAGTTCAAATTGAAAGAGGCACTACATGAAGGTGATTCACTGCACCTCTCCCCACCTTCCAGAGTATCAGTTTATGCATATACTGGAGTGCTGTGACACGCATTTGACCTAAGAGAGAGGACATAAGAGAAGAATGAAAAAACTGGATAATGACGAGCTTCACAATTTTTACCCTTTACAAAATCAAATCAAAGTAATCGAGACAGGCAGGACACAAAGCATGTACAGGAAAGAGGAGATATGCATACAGAATTTCCCAAAAATGAGTGGAATTCTTTACCAGATGAGAACAACTATCAACTTCTTAAGAATTGTACTCCATAGACTTACTTTTCAGACAGCAGAACTGCTTACATTTTTTCAAGAGTAATTTTGTACTGCACAGTATTCCCAACTTCTTCATTCCTAAGTTTGTCATTTATTATTTTCCATATTGTGCTTCTTCCACATTTTTATACTTATTTTATTTTTTATTTGAGTTTACGTCTGCTACAAATGATAGCAATGGTATAAAGTATATATTTTATATTGCATTTTTATGCTTTATTGGCATTTCATAGTTCCAAATTAAAACACTTAATGCAGTTCTATATTGCCCTGAATCTTCCTGGTAATTTCATGTTTCATGGTGAATGGAAATGTTAATTATTATTCCTTATCCTGTTACAGATGCAGGCATTGTAGTTTTGCTACTTTTTTTGGTGATGAACCTCCTCCCTGTAAGACACAGAAGCAATGTGATGTATGCAAAAATCCGAGGAATGTTGAAAAATATATTGAAGAGTTCTACAAAAATTTGTCTAACGGTACTATCCTCATGCTGAGAGGTGATGGAGCAGATCTGTATGGTGAAGGAAGGCGGGGCGCAAAGAGGTAATTTTCCTATTATGATTGATAATTCCATTAAATTTAAAACTAATGAGAATAATACATGAAAGGGCATTGGCAAGACAGTCCATTTCATTAAATATAGATAAATTGCCCATTCTTCACCCAGGTTTTTCTTCTTAAAATAAACTGTGTTGGAATAATGATATTGTTGTACAAAAGGCTGTGCTGTCATTTAATAAACTTTTCTGTTTACATGTATAGTAGATTAATTATCTACATGCATCTTTGTTAAATTTCATAAACAGTGTAAGCAATAATGGTCTATTTGTATCTTATATAAGAAGATAAATTGGTTATAGAGAAGCTGAATATTATGAGTCAGAAGAGAAAGAGCGACATGAAAAAAAGGCAAAAAAACAATTGCAAGATTTAATCCAGAAGCAGTTTTCCCTGCGCCGTAAATCATCTTGTCAAGAGAATGAGGAGACTTCAGCAAAATACTCCAGGGTTCGTGCAGCTGACAGTACAGGAGTCAAAGTCAATGGATTGACAGTTAGTGTAAGTATGTTTATTTTGACTGGAAACTCACTTTCTTCCATGATACGTTACAGTTACTGAATCACTTCCATGTAGACAATCTGTAATGTTAGTCATTGCTGTTATAGTGATCAGAACAAGATAAAAATATATGAATGAAGGATTTGAATTATTTCTTCTCTTATTCTTCACAATTATAAATGTGAGGGTAGTATATAATATAACTAAAAATGAGTGTGAGAATGGGTGTAAATGTTTCAGCAACAGAAACTCCACTGATTTTATTAGTGTCTTAGAATAGTTTTGCTGAATAAAGAACAACCATTGGTATAACGAACTGAAGCCCAATTGTATGGTGCTAGTTTTGCTTCCATATTACTTTAAATTTTCATGTTAGAGCCTTTTAGCATAAAAATGTTTTGCGTGCAAAATCTGCAGATATGTTCATAATTAAACTCTACTAAATTTTATTTTCTTACCTAAAATACTTTTCTTTTGTTAGTGGCAGTGTGGAGTTATATCTTTCTAGCAAGGAGAACTTGCAGATGGGTATTTTAGTAGTTCTTGATTATTACTTCAATAAAGAAAGTTATCTGCAGTACTTATGAATTCTGTTTCCATTTTATTTGGGCTGTTACATTGTTTTTACTAGCTTAAGACTTGGTGAATATAAGTGGATGCAGAGAAAAGTAAATGTAAGTTCATGTCGTGTCACCAAAAACTCTAATATAAAAATAGTTAATGAATTCTTCAGTAATGTGGTTTGTTATGGGGTTGATGGTAACAATCAAACTTACTTTCAAGAAGACTTATGGGCAGGTTAAATTTGAGAATGCTTCCTACTATTCAGTTCACATTATTTTGACTACCCGTCTTATATGAAAATCCTAACATTAAAATATACAGAGCTATTGTTTCCCTATCCTTATGTATGTGTAACATGGTTCCTCACATTAAGGGAACAATACTGATTAAGGTTACAATATTTTAAAACAGGTGCTGAGAAGAATATTGCAATTAGAGAGGGTTAAAGTGACAATAGGATAGAGAAAATTACTTAATAAGGAGTTTCATAATTTACACTCACCAAGTATTGTTAGGGTATTCAATCAACATGTATGAGCTTAGTGGGGAATGTAGCATGCATTGGAGAATTGATAAAAACAATACAAAAGATTAGTCAGAAAACCAGGAGCGAAGAGTCCACTCAGGAGACATGAGTGTAGACTGAATAATAAAGGACTCTGCTGTGTGCAGTTAACTATATTCATAATGTTTACGGAACTGTAATTTTTTTGGATGATGAGCAGGTCATATTGACCTTGTTGTTACTTCTGTTGTAGGTACGAGAATCCTACTTAAGTCTGTTGGTTGAGAATCTGAAGAAAAACTATGAACGGTGTCACATGGTAGATCCTTCTCAGCATTCTCTTTCCACCGCTGATATAGAAATATGTGCCATTGACATGGAGTATGAAGCTTTTACATCCAACAAGGTAGCAAGTTTATACCGAAGAGTGATAGTGAAATTGGTGAGTTGCATACAAAGTGTGAAATACCTTTTGATTTAGCTCTGGTATTAAGTTTTGGTGTTTTACTTTCTTGGTTATCATTGCAGTCTTAACTTTTAATATAATTACTGTAAGGCATAATCAATTCAAAACTGGAAAATAAAAGTGATCTTATCTTGGTATTATATATTAAGTCTTTATACACTGGTTTGTAAACCTGTGTATGGTTCTGTCTGGCTAGATATTTCCTAGTGTTTAAATTTTAATTTCTAAAGACTCAAAGTATGTATGTCACTTTAAAAAAAAGGCTTGCAGTATCATGATATTTTTGAAGTATGTTGCCCAAAAAATGTTTTTCCTTTAAATATCAAACTCATATAAATCATACAGAATTTAGATATGCAGACCTCAAAGAGAACAAACCATATTACCATTACAAATGTAAGTACAGTCTTGAAGAAGACTTTGCTGTTTGTTACGACAACCAAGCGGAAACTATAAATTGACCGTTGGAGTGATAATTTAAAGATACAAACAGTAATGCAAGTGGTATGTGTAATTATCACTGACCTATAAGGATTAAAGGTTATTATTAGAATATTACTTTATATGTAGTAAATACTTACATTTTATATCTCTAGCTTTGCACTTCAAGATCCCTTTGATGGCAATAGCAATACACTATGAAACTCAATGTGAAATGTTGCTGTTTTTTTTGCATTTCCACCAAAGGTACCTTGAACTGCAAAACTTAATTTAAAGGGCTGAATTAAGGAAAATATTTTTGCATAATATTAAATTATTACTGTAGGTTTAATCATTTGCCATTATTGACTTTTCATGTTTGTTTTAGATAGCCGATATTAAAAAGGATATAGAATTAATGTCACTTTATCAGAAGCTGAAGGAATTCAAACCCAGAGGAAACCTATCACTGCATGATGCAGTGGCTCAGGTGAAGAGTAACCTTAAAAATGGGGATGAGAACAAGAACAAGTTGATGGAAATTGTACCTGCATCTCAACTTCTTACTAAGAATGATACTCATAGATCAAAACAAGTGCTTAATAAGGTGGCAAAGAATAAAAGATGTCCTAGAAAAATATCAAGTTTAAATGTGGATTCTTTGTCACAGCAGTGTATAGAATCTTATTTCAAAAAGGTTGAATCTGGTTGTTCAGAAGTTGATAGTGGGAAGTCTACTGAAGAAAGTACATTGACTGATTACAAGGAGAGTGATGGTTCTAGTAATATTAGCTCAAGTGAAAGCAGTAGTAGACAGTCTCTTCGAAACATTCCTTTCATGGCAGAAGATGTGGATGGTTCCGACTCTACACAAGAATTTGACTGTGAAGAATACAATGAAGAGGAAATATTGAACAGTGATGATGAAATTGAATTCAGA